GCCTGCAAAAATAAGCAGCTCTACGGACTTAAAAAGAAAAAAAGAATAGGAAAAGAAGTGGATTTGTAAATAAGTTCACAGCATTTAATTACACATCTGAAGTAGAGCCTATGAAGTCTACAGCAGCCTTTCAAGGCACATGAAGTTTGCCGAGAAAGCCAAACCAGATTTTTAATAAATAGCATTGCACGGATTTCAAAGAGCATTGGATTCAACCTTCTGCATCTAGGCATAAGTATAGATTTAATGTAATTTTAGATAATGTCTTTGGACTTAAGACTTCAGAGAAAGAACCTTGTTTGAGGCATAACAATACAAATGGATGCTTTAACTTCAAAGCAATGTTTAAAAGGTTTCAATAATAGAAACATTCAGCTAAAGTAAGAAAAGGATGAAACTGCAATGACAGAAATATCACTACAAATCCTCCCTGCTTTGTGTAGTGTCATTTCCAATGCACTTCAGACTGTACAGAGAAAGAATGCATCTATTACGAGATCACATGAACATGCATATTTATCATGAAAATACAAATTCTTCTCAATTTCTATTTTAACAATGACAGAAAATACACAGAATAAAGAATACTAAACTGCTATTCTTTAGCCTTCATTTTTAGTGCAATATGATTTTTAAAAGAAATTTTAAACATGACATTTCATTTTCAGTTGTGGTGTAGTTTTATCCAGTCTTAACATTATTTAACTCTAAGAAATGGGGGAAATAATCTCTAATATTTTAATAAATGTTAATAAAAGACTACAAGTACATCCTTGACAAGCCAATGAGGCAAAACCAAGACTACAGAAAATAAAAAGTAAAGCTGAATAACCTCTGACACATGCTTGCTTATTCTCTCCCAAAAGGAATGCCTAACTCCTCACTTACACATCCCACTGAGAAGTCTGTTACAGTTACTTTCCAAAACATAACTTTTCCTTTGGATATCTTCACTATGGCATACTACACCTAACAGAGATAAAAGAGATTTATCTGCTTCATGCTTATGAACTTTATTTAAATAAGGTTCCCCAATGCAATAGTGATTGTCCTCCTATAGGGAAAACGGAAACATTTGTCATGAAAGCCCAGCTCAAATAAAAACACCAGAACAAGTGGCTTAAATACATCTCATTCAGTAAAACCCCTTGGCTTTGGGAAGCTGTATGCCATGTCTTCCTGTAGTGACAAAAATCTTCTTGCTTTCATCACTTAAATGAGGTAGAAAACCTTCTGAGCAACGACCTGGCATGAAGCTAGTGTGATGAAGAGTCAGGCTGTTACTGTGTCGTGATGATGACACAACTGCTACAGACAATGCTTCCCACAACCATTAGTTTCATGCTCTGAGTTTAATACACCCCACTACTCACCCAGCACTACACTGAGCTGTCTTTGACACAAACACTTGCATATGGTTATGTTTTATCCCTCAATAATTTACATCCATAAGCTTTACTATGAAAAAGTAACTCTTAAGCAGTGGCACAATACAGTGCATTAATTTCTGTCAATATAGGTAGCTTTTATAAAATGATAAAAACAATTTATAAAAGAGAATACTTGAAACAATGCAGCAATATTATCTAATGAAAATGGCTTACCTTGTCTCTGGGTGTAATCTGCAAGTGGGGAAGGAAAGATGGGAAGCAACTGTAACTGGCAATATGATGTTTCCCTAAAGTCAATGATGTTACACTAATCAATTCCCTGTTCTTCCACAGCCTGTTTCAAGCAGCCCTAATATATTTTGGGTCATGAACACACATACAGCATTTCCAAAAGACAGTGACTTTGGAAATTGTCTGGACTACAGAGAGTGCTTTAAGGAACAAGCTGCTTTACAAGAAAAGAAATATACACCTCTCTCCAATTTTTGTGTTTTATTACATTTTTTGCTCAAGATCTCCTTATACACTCACCCATATTTACCACTCTAATTTTCTGACTACAGGAAGTTAATTTAAAAATGCAAAAAATTATTTTTCCTACCATGTACACCCAAACTTAAAATTCTAATGTCTATCTGCATTTTCCTCAGTCTTGTAGGAAGACTCCAGGCAAGGATTTTGTAGGCTAGATGATGCTGTTCATTACACCTTTAAAATCCTTATGAATTACTTCTTCCTTTACAGCCTATCAGCTCAGTCCTTGCACAGATGTATTACCTCTGTATGAAGCAGAATAATTCACCATGAGATCATAGAGAAAATGTAAACTGCACATCAGCAGCAAGGTGCAACTAAGCTGACAAAAAGGATGCTGTGGCCAGAAAAGTAATTCCTGTGAAAAAGGGTAATACCTACTCTATTCTTCTACCTCCTACCTCTTCCATCTCCCCTCTCTCTGTTGAATGATCCTCAACTTGCATTCTTTGGTAGGACTTACCTACTTACCAGCATGATGTTTGCATAACCATTAATTGCAGAATTATAGAATGGCTCAGGTTGGAAGAGACCTTAAAGAACATCAAGTTCCAATTTTCCTGCCATGGGCAGGGGTGCCTTCCACTAGACCAGGTTGCTCAGAGTCCCATCCAACCTGGCCTTGACCACGGCTAGGGGTGGCACAACCACAGCTTCTCCGGGCAACCTATTCCAGTGTCTCATCACCCTCACAGTAAAGAATTGCTTCCTAATAGCTAATCTAAACCAACTATCAATTTGAAGCCATTCCCACTAGTCCTGTGGCTATATACTCTTGTCAAAAGCCTCCATCTTTGCTTTTGTACGTGTAGAAAGAGAAATTATGGGTAACTTTGCCCCTGATAAATCACAGTTGTACTAATTACCAGAGAACAGCCTGGCCCTTAATGGGTCACAGCTGTGACTTAAAAAGATAAAAGGGGTGGGTTGGCTGCTCAAGGGAGTTTGGAGGCAGAGGAGCCCTGAGGAAGAAGGAACATAGAACACATCAAAAGGGCTGACTGAATGGGAGAGAGACTTGCTGCAGTGAGGAATCTGCTGTGAGGTTAGTCTGGGTCTGCAGTTAGACCCTGCAGTGGATGTGTGCAGAGTTGAGCTAAGTGAAAGTCTGTGGTCAGAGGCAGCAAGGAAAATATCTGCAGTTATATTCCAGCAAAAAATAACCTGCCTTCAGAGTCTGTGAAGGAAATCTATGGTGGGAGTTTGCTGCAGTCAAAGTCTGTGATTAGTTGGAGTCAGGATGGCTGATCTGTAAAAGGACTAAACTGAGACCCTTTTCATGTTGTCAAATGGGAGTTTGTATCTTGGCTCATTTCTACCCCTAACAAGAGGTCTGCTGCAACACTTATGCTCCCTTCAGGTACTGAAAGGTTGCAATTAGGTCACTCCAAAGTGTTTTATTTTCCAGGCTGAACCATCCCAATTCTCTCAGCCTTTCCTCATCTCCCGATCCTTTCACTCCACTAAGCATCTTGCTGTCTTCCTCTGGACTCACCCCAACAGCTCCATGTCCCTCTTGTGCTGGGACCCCAGGGCTGAATGCACCACTGCAGGTGGGGTCTCACCAGAGAGGAGCAGAGGGACAGAATCCCCTCCCTTGCCTTGCTGGCTGCACTGCTTTGGATGCAGCCCAGGACACGTTTGTCTCTCTGGGCTGTGAGTGCCCATGGCTGGGTCATGTCCAGCCTCTCATCCACCTGCACCTCCAGCTCCTTCTCCCAAGGCTGCTCTCCATCTGCTCTTCCCCCAGCCTGTGTTGGTATTGGGGGTTGCCCATTTCTATGCCAAACAGAGTAGTGCACTTTGCAGTTTCCCCTTTACACTCACAGAATAAGCTGAGTTGGAAGGGACCCACAAGGATCAGCGAGTCCAGCTCCCAGCCCTGCACAGCATCATTCCCAAGAGTCACACCATGTGCCCAAGAGTGTTGTCCAAGTACTTCTTGAATTCATTGATTCACAGATCATGAATTTTCAGTCTGTAGTGAATAGTATTAATGCAAAGCTTTTTATTTTATTTTCACTTCCCAAGCTGTAATTTAGATTCCTGAGCATTTTTCTTGAGCAGTTCTCCTAGAGATGAACAGCCATCGCCCATTTCCCCATTCTAAAAAATGGGGTAGAATATGGAAATAAAACCCCATAGTGCTCAGAGAGAGATTAAAATCCCACTCTACACACTCTTCCAGCCCTCCCCTCACAGTATGAAACCTTTTATTCTAATCATTTGATCCCAAGTCCATCAGGGAAGATTTTAGGAAAATTTCATTCTTATACATGAATTAACAGCAGACTAAGTCAACTGCCTTGGAAGGATCAAACACATAATCCTCTTGCAAGCAAAGGTAAGCTGGCCTGTCAAGGCAAACTCTGAATTTGCAGAAGCCTGCTGTCCAAGATGCCAGGGTAAAGAACTGTGATCATCACAAAAGCCTAAACGAGTAGGCAGGTGCAGTGTTAAATACCAAAGAGTCAGGTAAAGGCAGAACTTTGAACCCTCAGACCTGAGAAAAGTGAGTTTACATTTATGTTGCTCACTGGAAATAAATTAACACAGGCAGGAATTTATCCAATAACTCATTAAGGAGGGCACTCCACCAGTGTAGTAGAAGTAATTGACTAATTCAATGCTTCAGTGGGTGAGGAAAGAGACAGATTTCTTCATCTGCAGCTTTCCTCTAAAAAGGTAAAGTCATATCCTACAAATAACACTGAGAAACTCTCTCTAGAAAGTATGTGGGTACCCACCATGGTAAGTTAATCTTTATTTCTCTGTATCTCACCATGCAAAAGAAGTCACGGATTTTTCAGAAGTTTTATTGTAGTTTCTAGATGCTGTAAACTCTACCAACATATGATCTATTTCATGAGCTGATACTATGAAAACTGCACCTCCTGTGTTTATTTTAAGCATTAGTACAGTGCCACAAAGCACAACTTCTGAGCTTCTCAGGTGCTTACAACTAAAGACTCAAAGGAAGCAATGGAGACAGAATCACTTCGTGACCAGTGGGAGCACAATGGTTTGGGTCTTACAATGCTCTATCACACAAAAACTCAAGGGGATTTAATTTACCTTGACCTTGTAGTACTCCTTGACTTCAGGCTGAATGGAATCAAAATCACCACTGATGTAATCAGGCAAGAAGCTGAAAGGAAAGCAATGAGCAGTGAAATTAAAAATTAATTCATCTTACTGTATTTAATATTTATTTTCTCAAGAGTACTAAGAAGTACAATCGTTAGTCTTCTAAAAGGAATATGACTTCCTTAAAAGCATGTTAAAACAAGTTGATGTGAGGTGATACAAAATAAGGTAACACATGAAATGTAAAACTGGTAAATGTATTGTCCCTTTATTGAGGGGCCTGCACATTGCTTAAATGGTTATATATCTCTCTGGGTCAGTAAGACTTGCATTTGCCTGGTCCTGGAAAGACAATTTTCAAATATCTTTCAAATGTATCATTCAGACAGCAAAGTGTTTGAAATAGCATATCTGAGTGCTGTACATCAAGCCTCAGAGGATATCATTTGTCAGAAGATGATGATGATGCTTCTTGGACAGCTGGTATGCCATAAATGTTTCAAGGACTTGCATTTTAGTTGTTAGTGATGTCATCTCATTTCTACACTTCTTGATTATTAAAAACACTCCCAAAATTTGGAAGCCAAATAATCAGCGAGTTTTAACTCACATGAACTTAATTTCAACTCCTAACTATCATTCGTATGTAATATTGCTGCAAAGCGTGTGGAAATAAATTTGTGATATTTATCTTAACTTGTCACATGTAGATTTTTTAATTGCAGAATGCTTAAAAATATTTATTGTATAAATTCGTGTCAAATTCCTAACTAAACTTCCCCTGTGCTATAGCAAGAACAGTGTATGACAATATTTTGAAAAAGCCCACGATGCCCCCAAAAACACTCAACACAACTTTCTATCTTGAACAATTTTTTGAGTTTTAGGAAGCACTGACAGGTGAGAGAGTGTTTCCACTGTTTCAACAGATAAGGCTGCATTGAGTTTTGAAAGTAAAGCTGTGAGTTTAGTGAACTCCACGGCTACCACACTTCACAAGTGAGAGCTCATTAGCAAATTAGTTTCCAGCTTAAACTGTATTACAAGGAATTGACGACAATATATTGGGACATATTTTTTCCGCCACATGATTTCTGAAGAATGCTGCAGGGTCTAGAAACTCCTCATATCAGTAAAACTTATTAAAAAATCCCATGTTCTGTGTCCATGCAAAGATTTCAAAAGATATGTGTGGTCACTGGCTATAATTTTCTTTGAAAACTGAAAGCTTCTCCAGTAGAAGCCGGTAAGTGCATTTGCTGTGAGTCAGGTCATGTGCAACTACAGCATTTCAAATTCCCTGCTCTCCACTATTACTAAGGGTTGTTATAAAATTATATGTTCTAAAAATAATCCCTCCAGAAGTGATGGTCCAACACTCACTGCAGTGAGCAGTCCCTGCTGCACTGGGTTTGACTGAGGACACAGGAGAAATGCAAATGTTTCAGTGCTGTGTTTCATATGCCTCCATCAGCATGGTTCAAAACTAAACAGAAAATTAGGTTTGCTCCTTATTGTAAAGCCTGACCTTTCCAATACACAACAAATACCACATTTTCAAAAGTTAAAATTTAAATAGTTGTTTTTTACCTGTCCATCAGTTTCCTAATGAAATATTTACTGAATACAACGAGCCTAAAACCTGCACCTGCAGAAATACCTATTCTCTTTCATTTTGTTATTTTATAATGATATCTTCTTGATTGAAACAGAACCATTAAAAGTAAACTCACTCTAGGCATTTCAGTGGTGGCCCTGAATGCAAGTCCTGGAAGTGTTCCAGCAGATTGGGCAGGAAAAAGAGCAGCCAGTTGTCATGGAAAGCCAGCTTGGTATGACATAGACATCCACTGTGATGAAAAAGCTGTTTATCGTACTGAAATGCTGTATATAAATCCAAAGTCTTTTTTTTTTCTCTCTACAGCAGCTACAAATGGCAGTGCTTTTAAATAATCAACTATTTCTCCTGAATGCTTCAAGAGACCTAAGTGGGAGAAGAATTAGTCAAAAAATGTTTCTCCTAAGAATCAAGTGCTCATTCACAGCTTTTTGTCTCACCCAAAGTAAAACAATTTCCAATCAAAAAGTTAGTCTGAATTTTTCCAAGCAGAAGGAACAGGCATTGCAGTTGTACCTCCTATGGGCTTTGCTGAGGGTCCTGGTTGTGCTTCCTGAACACGTCTCCTCTGCCAGGAAGCTCTATGTCTGTTTTCAACATACCCTCTCTAAACCACTAACTTGGAGCAACCACAAAACCAGAAGTGACTAAAGGGAATAAGGAATTGTGGCTGGAGACTTAAAAATTTTGAGATGTCTAGGCCTCTCATTAATGATCATATAGAGAATTCCTTCTTCTGTTCTCGTTCCCTTTTAGAAACACCAGAAACAAGGAAAGTTCAGAAAGTCATGCTTGATTAAAAAGAACAAAACAGTAAACCTCAACTCCACTGTCTGCCTCACAGACACGAAAAAATGTCTGCTTTATCTTCAGAGGGAGGATGGCTGCTTTTTGTAGCTCATTGACTATGCAAACCAAAAAAAATAAGGCAACATTCAGTGGAGTCAAAGTGAAACAAATTGTCTGATCCAGGAGAGCAGATTTGAGTCAAGATTCTTTCCAATTAACACAAATGAACAAAGTTCATTTTGTGAAGAATTCTTCTTGACTGACTAACCTCAGAAATTAGCACTGGTATAGAAATAGAGGAAATAGCTGAGAGAGAGGTATATGGGAATAAAACCCTTCATACTAAAGTAACACAGAATATTTTGTAATAATTGGGTTTCACATGCTTGCTTTCATATAGTTTTGTATTTACTCCTGAATACAGACTCTGATGCAGGAGAACAGGCTCAGGAGAATCAACACCAAGCTCATTTCCATTTGAGTGGAAAAAATGATGCCAGGAGAAAAGTAACAAGAAAGGCCTCTTGTTAAAGTTAAAACAGCTGCCCTTACTTAAAGTACAGATTAAAACCAGGTATTGTATTAGTCTAACCCATGTTTTCCTGCCCTCTGAACTCAAATTCATGAATAATTCTCATTCTATGCATAACTGTATCACTGAAGATGACATCTTTCAGTGACATATCTGACACATATCCTTTAGCGAAGGACTTTAACTTTTTGCCCATGATGGCGAAATATGTCTTTAATTCCTAGTGCAATTTAAAATTTTAATTTCTAAACAGTCCAGATGATACAGTCTACTGCATTTCAGGACCATATTTTATCAGTCCCATTAACTATTAATTATCACTATGCATATAAGGTCATGACCAGCTCAGCTGGCTTGATTCTCTGCTGCTTTATATTGACATTTTTCAGGAGTGAGCCAAATCCCTAATCCTAATGGGACTGAAAGTATAAAATTCATGTGAGATCACCCTAGTCTCCCAAGTCTTTTCTACAGCTGTCATAACACCAGCCACTGGGAAGCAAACAATCTTCAGAGGCTTGAACCAACTGGAGTTTTTCTTACTCTTTTCAATCTCTTTTGGTCTTTCTGGGTGTTGAAGGGTTTATTTTGTTTGAATTTAGGTGTGTGCTTTTTGTTGTTGTTTGGACTTGCCTTTTTTTTTCCCTCATCTATTTTAGAATCATACTGCATCCATCTAAAATGATTATGGAGTCAGGAGGGCCAGGATTACTTTCAGATAAGGACCCAAAGGCACTTCCATACCAGACTGCTTATCTTTTATCTATGTTAAAAGCAACTTTAAAAAAAATAAAAACCCCACAGTTTCCATATGAAACCTTTAAAGGTTTAGCTAGATTACAAAGAAAAAACAACACTATTTCTCAGCAGTTTGGAGACAGATCCCAGCTAGGTGATTTATACAAATTGGATAAAGGCTGATTGTTGACTGAACAATTTTATGAACTCCCAGGATGCTAGGCTGAAAGTGGCGGGGAGGGGGGAAGAAAAGAGATTCCAGCAAGTTTGACACAGTTTCCAGATATCCCAATAAATTTTTAGTCACCAGTACCAGAAAACAGCAATTGATTCTTACCACTGACAGATTACAAAATAAATAGAAGCTATTTAAACTCTGAGGTTCTTATGCTAAAGAAGCAAAATTGTGCCTTTTGCCTTGAAGTAATAAATCTAATAGACACAGCAACATTGTTTTTAAATATTCAACACTAATGAACAGTATGTTAAATTTAAAACACACTATCAAATATCAGAATATTGGCTTCTTTATTCACTCACTTTAAGAATTCAGTGAGAAGTGTTAAATATGCGTTTTCACAGAGTTATGAAAGAGAAAAAACAACCGCAAAATCCTATCACACTGTAGCAGTTTATACTAAAAAAACCTATCCTGCCTTCTTAAATAAAATGCTTGGTCATAACTGTTCAGCTCTATCATTAATTCAAAGTTACAGTTTCCTAGTACTATTGACTTTTCTTGTGATGTAGCTCCTTTGGCACATAATTGCATGCAATTAACCTTTCTTAAAAAAATGTTAACATCAGAGACATGAGCATCTAAAGGCAGTATCTGCATACCCTTTGATTCCTTCAGCTACAGCACAGAAAATAATCCCATGCAGACAAACCATGTGTCCCCCAGCTGTATCACCTGAGGGCATAGAGTGGGTTCCCTATGTTTTGTCTTCACTACTAAAAATAAATTTCAAAATGGGTGTCTTTTACCCTGGACTAATAGGCACACACAAGCTACATCCCTGTGGAATAAAAATCAGTGACGATAAAACGCTGCAGACTGAACGTGAAGCAAAGTCAGCTCTGACTTTTGTAAGCATCTAGAACTTTGGAATACAGAAGATAAAACTCTCTAGCACTACTTCAGTATAAGCATTAAAATCATAGTATAACAATAAAACCCTAACAAACAAAAATGAATACTCTCCACCCTGTGTTTGCTAACTGTTAAGGTGCACTTTCAGCTTGCCCTCCTGATGTCTTGACAGGAAGAGTAAGTGAGGGCTGCTCTCATTAGAAAGGTGTTAAGTCTCTTTCAATCTGTCAAAAGTATAGTTATCTGCTGTGAAGATCAAAGTGCCTTTTTAATTCTCAGAGACATGTACAG